TTTTTGCGGACGATGGGGTCAACGATGAGCGGGTAGTGACCCGGTCGGGCAACGTGGGAAGGATGGTCTCTCTGATCAAAAGTGATCGGGGAGTCCGACCAACTAAGGAAAGAGGGGATGGCTGACTCGGCGGTGCATGCCTCTCTGTAGCGTACCTTATGCTGGCACTTAGAGTGGATGGCATCGGATCCCCCAAAGATCATAAGGCATTCCCCAAGGTTGGAGAAGCCATCTTCATCCTTGCCCGTCATACCTCCTTTCTTGGCCGCCTCCTCCTTGCCTTTCCCTTCCTTTGGCTTGGTGGCTTACCGCAGGAAGCGCTTGAAAAGCTCGCAGTCCTTGTAGAGATGTTTGATGGGATAGGCGTGGTTGGTGCATGGACTCTCCATGAGCTTATCGATGTGGTCGGTCTGGCCCTGCTGGGGTTACTTGCCCGCGCGGTCGGCAGTGGCGACCAAAGCTGGGTTGGTCGGTCGATGCTGATCCTTCTTATTCATCTTGCCCTTTTGTGTGGAGGGGCCCTCGCCTTGGTCCTCACGCTTGGCCTTGCCCCTGTCCCGACCGCCGCTGAAGACCGCCCCGACCGCCTCCTCGTCAGAGGCGTGGTTCGTGGCGATGTTAAGCAGGTCGTGGGTGGTACGGGGCTTCACACAGCTGAGCTTGTGAATCAAGGACTTGTAGGTTGTCCCAGAGAGGAACACGTTGATGATGTCCGCATCGACGACATCAGGAAGGGAGTTGCACTGCTTTGAGAACATGCGGATGTAATCCCGCAGGGACTCGTTGGGCTCCTACTGGCAGCTCTTGAGATCCCATGAATTCCTAGGACGGACATATGTCCCCTAGAAATTTCCAACGAAGACCCACTTGAGATCTGCCTAGTCGCGGATGCTGTCGGGCGGAAGGAATTTGAGCCATGCTCAAACATGCTCGCCCACGCAGATGGAGAGGTACTGGATGATGAAGTAGTCATCATCCACTCCTCCGGCTCGGCAAGCGAGCCAGAAGTCTTCGAGCCATATACGAAGGTTTGTCTCCCCGGTGTATCTGGCAATGTTGGTGGGTGGTTGGAAGCGTTGTGGGAATGACGCTTTCTGGATGCGGCGACCAAAGGCCCGTGGCCCTGGGCCGTCCGGGCTGGGGCTTTGGTCATTTGGTCGGCCACCATGCCTGGGGTGCGTGTCCCCGCACTCCTCGATGGTCAGGCCGGGGCCCGTGCCGCCTGCTCCCACCTCCACTCGATGGACGTCATCATCGTGTCGGGCATGGCGTCGATTGTTGATGACGCTGCGAGCGTCACGGTTCAGCCTGAGCCATTCCACATAGGTGGTCGACGTGGAGCGGGCGCCGGGTCGGGCTGCGGTGCAGCCGTGGCTTCCTGACCCACGCCCGGCAACTACAGTGGTGAGTGGATGGAGCGATTCGACTGGTGCAGCCCCAGTCCCCTGGTGGGGAAAGAGGCCATGAGCCAGTGTCGCGATGTGGAGCTCTATGCCTGTTGAACGGCGGCGGTCTCCACCAGCGTCCAGAGGTTCTGGTGGATTGCCTATTCCAGGGGGTCGGCAGGCTCGGGGAGGCCACGTAGAAGCATCGCCACAGCAGCGATGTTCTAGCCAGCCCGAGCAAACTAAGTGGGGTCGTTCCCTCCGTCCAGGATGTTATGTTGGACCTGAAGGGTGCAACTTCGAGCGCCGCTCGCGGGGTTCCACGCATGTGGCATAGCATGCTGCGCCGAGCGTGCCAACGCAGGTGGCGGTTGGCTCTGCTGCCTTTATCATAACTCCTCGCCGTGCTCCTGCACACTCGCTAGGGCCTTCGCACGGGGGTCTGGAGGGGTGTGAATCTACAGAGACTCCACTACCACCGGTGGTTGTCCCAGGGCGTCCACCATAGGGCACTCTTGGGACAGAGGGTGGCCAGGTGCCACGACGTCGCTGATGCTGGAGCCATCGCTTTCGACCTCATCATCGACGAGGTCATGGAAGGAGGCGGGAGCATAGCTCGCCATCCCCATGAACTCAGACGTGAGAGGGGACGGCGTCAGCATCCTTCGGAGCCCCCATGAGAATGCGTCCACGGGGGACGCGAAGGCGTAGGGGAACCGATCGCACGGCGGTCGCGGTGGGGACAACGGGGTCCCTCCGGAGAGTCGACGAAAGGTGTTAAATAGTGAGTAAAGAACAATATGTACATCACTCATCGTGGTGTTTGAGCCCAGCATGGGCTCGAGGCGAAAGCGCGAGTGTCTTGACGTTGAGGTCGTTGAGTGGCCTGGGGCCGATGGAGGGCGCTCCTCCTCTAGTGGACGCCGGGACAAGCACCTCCTCGCGGAGGCGGAGTACACCGAGGTGGTCGGCGACGAAGTCCAGACTCCCAAAGAGGAAGGTCTAGAGTGGCACGATGACGGGAGAAACCCACATCCCAACAGGTGGGAGCATGGGAAACTCCAGCGAGCCAAAGCGAATTGTATCGCTCGAGCCCGCCATGCCGAAAATGGTGGAAAGGTGGGCCATCCGATGACCAAAAGCGTGAACGCACGACGTCTTCCCCACGGACGGCGCCAACTGTTGGTGCGAAATTTGACCAACAAGTAAATATTTGTAGTTTTGCCGTTCGTTGTGATCGAATGTGGCCTAGCACTCAATAACACAAGATTTATACTGGTTCAGGCAACGTGCCCTACGTCTAGTTTCAGTCAGTCGGTGACTTAATTCCTGAGCCCAAGAGCTCGAAGTTTGTTGTGGGGTTACAAATGAGTAAGGAATGAGAATGGGGGTGTCAGAGGCCCGGTCGGACTCTGAACCGAATGGGCGAGAGTGATGGGTGCTCTAACGTGCGCTAAGTATTGGAGCGTATGCTTTGTGTGGCTATCAAGTTCTAGAGCTATTGAGCTGGTCGAGTCCTCAAGTCGTTGAGTCCTCCAATCGTCTAGCCCCCTTTGTTAGGAGAGAGCGCATCTCATTTTATAGTTGAAAGGGATGGCCTTACAAGTCAGAGGGAAAGAGAGAGAGAGTGTATACGTGTGCTACCTAGTCTTGTTGCCCACGCTGTCGGGTATGAGATGGTCATCGGCGCCACAATACTGTTTAAGTTTAGACGCATCTGGCAGGCTCTACCGTGTTCGCCCACAATACATTGGCGCCTACAATACTGTTTGAGCTCTGACGCTTCTGGAAAATTGTATAGTGCCCGTCTGGCATGGCCTGGAGACACCGTCCCGCAGGTGCGCAGGGCATGGCAGAGTACGGTCCTCGGTATTGCGGTTGACTTGAGCGCCTTACCTTATCTGCTCCGCCTTGATCCCGGGCTCTCACCGAGTGGGCGTCCCCGGTCGGTCGTTCCCAGTCGGCCCCTACCGTGTCGGTCGGGAAAGAACAGCGAGCAGAGGTCCGGCGTATCCTCGGTCGGAGAAAGAGGTCGGAGTCGGACTGCGGTTCCACCTTGGCCATGCCTTCTGGTCTGGGACCGGATCGTTGTCTCGGCCTATCATTATGTATCTAGGCTGGCCCAGGCGCGTGTTGTCGCTGCGCCGCCTGCTGGGCCGGGTTTTTGCAGGGAAGTGGGTTCATTTGGGACCCTGGGTTTATGAACACGACACTATGCTAAAATTGCATTCTTTTTGGGACGAAAGAAGTACAATTCAATTTTTCCAAGAGTTTAAATTCTTTTTCTGTGATATTGTAGCTATATTTTGGTTGTTGCAATATGAAAACAAAAATCCTTAGTTCCGTTTGTGACAAATATATTGGTCTACTAATACAACTCAATTATTCCAAGAATTTCAAAATTTTTTATTATGATATTGTAGCTATAGTTTGGTTGTTCTATCATGAAAAAAATCATCAGTTCTATGTTATTTTTGGAATTATTTCATTCTTGTCAATCTGTTGTCCTGCTAGTAGTACAATTCATTGTTCCAAAGATTTCCGAAATGTTCTATACATGATACATGTAATTGATTGTTCCAGTAGAAAACTCACGCATTGTTCTATGCTGCTACAATAAACATTGTTTTTAGTTTATTTTGGTCTGCTAGGTTTCGGCCTTCTATTTCAAAGTGCCGTACGTGTGTCACATGCCGAGGCGCCAAGCTAACTTGTCCTTCCTGCAGCTGGGTGCAAATCTCGTCTGAATCGATCTAGCCACTCGTTGGAGGCTAGGAGCTTCTCAAGTCTCATGTGGCATCTGGCTGTGGGGACGACGTGGGCTCGAGGGAACTGTGCGAGGCCTGTTTCTTTCCTAACAGAGATCTTGCTGGGGTCTAGCAATATCCATAGAACAGTGACAAACCGTCCATGTGTACTGCCGCAGATTCTTTCGTAGGATGTGTACAGCTTGAGAGCGAGTAAAAAAGAGAAGTTGTTTTATCAACCGTCCAACGGTTGAAGCCAACAAAGAAAAACTGCTCAATCAGTAAAGTAGAGATATACCAAAATTAATATGACCTAATTATCTATGCATACATAGACTTTTATAGTAGATTTAGTTCAAGACATAAATGTTAATACTATTTGGTATAAACATGGTCAAAATTTAGTCATCAATAAGTTGTATTTTTTGTGGACTGAGGGAGTAGTATTTTACTACAGTACCATAGTTACCGATACATACATACATATATATATATATATATATATATATGCACATTTATTTATCTATGCATGTATATATAATTTATTCATGCGCAATGGTCATACGCATCAGAGGCCATATTGACAACAGTACTGCACAACTGTTCAATCGTACACTCTTGTCTTACTCAAAAAAAATAAAAAAATTGTACACTCTTGTCACGCGCTTTGCATTGCTCGATCAACTTTTGACGTGCATGCATGCCTATTACTATTATATCTAGACTAGACAGCTAGTAGTACGTAGTAACTGTATCACTTGACTACTAATCAGCAAATTAATGCAAAACACATCCATATATGCCTTGATGCTTGCTTGCTTGCATTATTTCATGCAGCCGGCCGGCCAGCAGCACGACGATCATATTATCAGGCAAGTGGGTACGAGAAAATCCTCTGGCCGCGCGACAGGATCGCCATGGGGTCGTATTTCCTCTTTCGCCGGAGGAAGGTGTCCCACCTGCGGGGCCCGAAGTGGCGCGCCGCCCACTCCGCCTGCGTCGCGTAGTAGGGCAGGTACTGCGTGCACGGGATGCCGGCGGCCTCGCAGAAGCGCGCCACCTCCGCGTTCTGCTCCTCCATGCGCCGCAGGTCGCCGTCCGCCACCGCCGACCGGAGGATCCCCACCGTGTAGAACACCCCGTCCTCGTCGTCAGGGAGCACCGCCGACGTGGCGCCGTCCCACTGCCCCTGTTCATGGGGTAGACGAGCACGGGGCCGCCGGCGCCGCCGTCGTCGCGGCGGAGCAGCACGCCGTGGAAGACGCCCGCGGCGAAGTCGAGGATGCGGGAGCGCGGGAGGAAGAGGTTGAGCCACGGGTGCGGCACGTCCCAGAGGCCCTCGCCGCGGAGCTTGCCCTCGCCGGCGCTCACGCGGTCCAGGAACTGCACGTACGACACGTCCTGCGCGAACGCGAACCCCGGCGCGTACCGCAGCTCGCGCACCAGCACCTCCACACCCTGCATGCATCATGAGTGGCTTTTGATCGATATCACGATGGACAAGTGTCACGTTGTGTGCAAGTGTAAAGAAGATTCGGTCACTACTACTGTTGCTTTGCATGTGTCCATGCCGGGATATGATGGTGATATGATGAATGGGTTGAGTTGTGGTGCTCGACTGCTTGCACGGTCACTTTCGAGGAGAAACGTGGCCGTCCCAGCTGACACATCTTGTGCCTAGAGATGCTAGCAGTACCTGCTGTTGCTGTCGTTGGTGCAAACAGATCGATCCGTCGTTGGCAGAGCGCTGATGCCGGTCTAGCTATAGCTTGCTAGTATAGCAGGAGTATGTGAATGCGAGCTGTGCAGTACCAGTATGTGAATGCAAGCTGTGCAGTATTTAGATCTTGGCATCTTGCATTATTATTGTAGGAGGGAGTATCCTCTCTAGCTAGTAGATGAATGATTCGTTTCTATAGCCAAGTACTGATACTGGCAAATATAAGGCCCCATTTAGATGTGATTTTTTTTGGTATTTTGGCTAGTAGGTGAAGCACTTTCGTTTGTATTGCAAATAAAAATTATCCAATTATGGACTATTTAGGCTTAAAAGATTCGTCTCGCCAATTACGGGTAAACTGTACAATTAGTTATTCTTTTTACCTACATTTAATGCTCCATGCTTGTGCCGCAAGATTTGATGTGACGGAGAATTTTGAAAATTTTTGGATTTTTAATGGGATCTAAATAGGGCCTAATTTTGTTTTTGGGGCGCTAGTCTTATCATATGACTAACTTGAATCATTTGTCTCTAGCTAGCTAGCTAGGGTGTAGTCCCTCCCTTCCGATACACAAGTCGTTCTCTCTTCTCGAGAAGTTAGCTTTTTTTACTTTGACCAATTATATATAAAAAATATTAATATTTATAATACATAATTAATATTATTAGATAGATCATTGAATATACTTTCATAATAAACTTATTTGGAGATATAAATGTTGTACGTATTTTCTACAAACTTAGTCAAATTTAGGAAATTTTGACCTACACGCATCCCATAACGACTTCTATCGTGGGACGGAGGGAGTACTCCATAGTGGTCATGACTTATTATTCTTGTTATACAACTAGAGTAGTATTATCAAAAACATTATAGCCAATTAACAGCAAATATACCATCAATGATTAATTAAGGTATTAGCAGTCTAAATTATATATAATTTCCAACAACTTGTTGTCAAAAGTATTTCTTATTTCTTTGTTTTGTGTTCACAAAATGATATGTATTGTATGCATCTTAATAAAATAAACTACATAATGTTTTTTTTACCAGAGAGGCAATGTAAGATTTTTAACTACTAGCCATCTAAAAACTCCAAAATATTCACTATGTCTAATTAAGCAGGTCCGTATAGTATATATAGGACAACTGTTTCTCAAAAGAAATATCAGAAGCTAAGAGTTTAAGATGAATATAGGAGATTATTCAAATTCGCCAACTAAAAGCTTGTGCAATCATTTCGAAAACAAGGGTTTTGTGAAATTATTGCTCTAGCCTAAACACTCATTGTACAAACGTAAAACTACATTTATTTTCCACAAGAGCAAAAATGGAAAGTTAGGTGTGTACTTCGTTTTTTTTGTGAAGTGTGTACCCGAACTCCACATGCCTGCCGCTACCGGTGATCTTTTAGCTTACGAAATGTGTGTGTGAATAATGTCTACTTAATTATTCAATAAAAATTATGGAGCTGTTTGGATGATGTAGTTTAGAAAATTATGGTATCAACAAACTGTTATATATATAGGGTAAAGTCATACAAAACGTGGTTTAGAAAAAAGAAATTGTGGGTGCAATTTCTAAAAGTCGAAAAGGGCTATGATTTTGATAAAGCCATAGTTTTAGAAACTAAAATGTTTGTTGGAGCAAAACACTTAGAAGTTCTTAAAAACCAAAATATTTTGCAAAATCAAAGTACTTATCTAATATTTAAGAAATAGTTTACATCCAAATAAGGCTTAAAGTGTGCGTGTTTCATTTCCTTGTGTGCTCTCTGTTAGTCTATTCCCTTCATTTAAAAATACAAGGTGTGGTTTGACTCATCGGTCTCTAAGGCCAGTCTCAGTGGGAGTTTCATATGAGTTTTATTTGTATTAAATAGGTTGACACATAGGCATTTTTATGACATGACAGTGTATTTAAGAAGAAAGAGAATAAATGAGTTTCATCTCTTGGCACAATTACCAACTATCTATGAGTCATGGAATGAAATGCCTATGAATCTATATATAGAATGAAACTTTGCTGGCTGGTTTGTGTGAGAGAAAAATACTGCTCCGGCTAAAAATTTACGATCGTATACGACAAGCACCAGCCAACCGAACATGCAGTAAGTGTTGAGGCTTTGACTCTTCAAATGGATGCAAGTCTTATAAAATTGAAACTATGTGGGAGTAGCTAGCTAGAAAAAAAAGTGCCCAAAAAGCTTTGGAATGATAAGCACGATAAGGGACCGACAACGGCAGGCCATGCAAGTACGATGTTGACGCTGCAGACTGCCGATGCTGCACCGTTGTGGCGTTGCAGTTGTAGCCAGACATGCATGCGTCACACGCCAAAAGTTGATCGAGATCGATCATGTGGCTGGCGTATGCACGTAGAAATAAACCGGCGGCCGGCGGCGGGTCATCGAGAGTGTTACCTTGTCAACGTCTGCGGCGGTCCTGTCGCCGGCGCCACCGTAGTACAGCGCGCCCTCGAGGCAGTACAGGACGCCGCCGGCGTCCTTGGCTAGCGCGGCGATGCGCTTGGCGTCGGCCGCCGAGTAGAAGGACGACGGCGGTTGAGAGCGCCAGCTGCCGATGAGGCCCTGGAAGTCGGTGAGGACGGAGCCCTCGACGTAGTCCATGAGCCCGGCCAGCGCGCCGCCGCCGCGCTCGTCGATGAGCCGCTCCTGGTCGGTCGTAAGGTCCGCGGCGCCGGTGTAGAGGAGCCGCACCCAGCGCGCCCTGGCCGGCGCCGGTGCCAGCGGGATCCGCGCGCGCGTTATGATCCCGAACTGCCCCAGCCCTCCCAGCACGGCGTCGAAGAGGTCGGCGTCCTTGTGCTTGGAGCAGGTGACCACCTCCCCAGTCCCCGTGACGACGTCGAGCTCGAGGACGTTGGATATCTGCGGGCCGTGGCGGAACGCCTGGCCGCTGATGCCGGCGTTGGAGAGCGTGCCGCCGACGGTGAGGCGGAGCACTACGGGATACTGATTAATTACCGAGTGTGATAAACACTCGGCAAATATGGAGAAACACTCGGTAAATTGTTTACCGAGTGCCACACTCGGTAAACATGACTCGGTAAACAACGACTCGGTAAAGTTAGTTTACCGAGTGTCAACTAACGGGGCACTCGGAGAATAAATCTTACCGAGTGCTACGCCGGCACTCGGTAAACAACTACGACGTGACGGTCGTCAGTCCCCAAGCTCGCCGTTAACGGCGTCGTTTACCGAGTGTTAGACATAGCACTCGGTAAACAGATAACCATTTTCATGATTAAAACAATTCCGCAAATATTTTTCCCTAATATAGTTTACCGAGTGTACCAGTAACACTCGGTAAACATGTAACTCGTTAACCGAGTGTTCCACTCGGTAAAAAATGGCACATATATCCGAGTGGGGTCGTGGCACTCGGTAAAAAATGGCACCACTCGGCAAAATTAACAGAATCAGAACCAATTTGGTTCTGTTCTCTGTTTTACCGAGTGTAGCACTCGGTAAACATGACCATTACCGAGTGTAACACTCGGTAAAACTTGTCCACAGTATTTTTTTTTGTTTGTTTCAGTGCATATCCAGCCACAATTAACAACAATTATAACAGAATATCACAGTTACCAACAGATAGACATTATATATCACATATATGTCCACAAATGTCACATCCACTCATTATAACCAACATATAGCTACAACAAATGTCACAAGCACAATGCAAAGTCCACAAACACCATCAACATGTCCAAAGTCCACAAAGTTGAAAGCTCTAGTTTAGTTTTGGTGAATTGATGAAACCCTAAGTGCTAACCTAGTTTATCAAGATGATTATGAGATAGGTAGCACTACTCCAAGTGATGAAGCAATGACGAAGATCATGATAATGGTGATAGCATGGTGATGATCAAATGCTTGAACTTGGAAAAGAAGAAAGAGAAAAACAAAAGGCTCAAGGCAAAGGTATAAAATGTAGGAGCCATTTTGTTTTAGTGATCAAGACACTTAGTGAGTGTGATCACATTTAGGATAGATAGCCGTACTATTAAGAGGAGTGTAACTCGTATCGAAATGCGGTTATCAAAGTGCCACTAGATGCTCTAACTCATTGCATATGCATTTAGGATCTAGTGGAATGCTAACACCCTTGAAAATATTTGTGAAAATATGCTAACACATGTGCACAAGGTGTTTGCGGGGGTTGAGATGGGTTGGGTCCTCTCTCCCTCGCCGAAGCTATGAGGAAGGGATTCAACGCTTTGGAAAAATGAAATGTCTATTTTCTATTGCGCGGATGCAAAATTCTTGGTGGTTGGCACATTTGAGCAAGGGTGAGGAAGTTAGAGTTGAAATGGAGTTGGTCGAAACAATGTTGGCGTCGGTCCTGTGACCGGACCTTTGAATCAAGCACCGGACGACGGCGTCGTGTCGTCGGTCATACTGATTCAATGGCTCAGCAGAGAAGGTTGAGCACGGACGCTGGTCTGCGTCCGGTCAAAGGTGGACGGACGCGTCCGGTCGAAGAAACATGCCTCGGGGAGCTTATTTGAAGCGACGGACGCCGAGGCTTCAGCGTCCGGTCGATTCAAGGAAGCGGCGTCCGGTCGAGGGTGATGACCGTTGAGTCTGGACACGTGGTGACATCGAAGCGACCGGACGCCGAGAGCAGCGTCCGGTCGGTCCGACCCGGGCGTCCGGTCGTAACGCGTTTTGCCCAGTGAAGGGGTATAACGGCTCTATTTGATGGGGGCTCTATTTATAGCCCCATGGCCGGCTCAAGGGAGATCTCTTGCACATTTTCATTGACATAGCAAGCTTGTGAGCCTAGCCAAAGGACTCCCACTCATCTACATCATTGATTAATCATCATAGTGAGATTGGGAGTGATCCAAGTGCATTGCTTGAGTGATTGCATCTAGAGGCACTTGGTGATTGTGTTTCATCTGGATTTCGCTTGTTACTCTTGGTGGTTGCCGCCACCTAGACGGCTTGGAGCAGCAAGGATCGTTGAGTGGAGGAGGTGATTGTCTCCGACTCCGATCGTGGTGATTGTGAGGGGTTCTTGACCTTTCCCCGGCGGAGCGCCAAAAGGTACTCTAGTAAATTGCTTGTGGCTTGTGTGATCCTCATCTTGTGTTGGTTGTGCGGCACCCTATTGAGGGTTTGGTGAGTGATGCCAATTAGCGCGTGAACCTCCAAGTGAGTGAATCGCCACAACGAGGACTAGCTTGCCGGCAAGTAAGTGAACCTCGGTAAAAATCATTGTGTTCATCATTTGATTCCGAGGTGATTGGTCATCATTATTATTCATCTTCGTGATTGATTGGTTCATTTATCTACACGACGGTATAACCCTCTTGATCATTCTCTTTACTTTACCGCAAACTAGTTGACAAGCTCTTTAGTGTAGCTAGTTGTGAGAGCTTGCATGCTTGGTTGGTGTGGCTCTTTAGTTAGCCTTTGAGAGCACACTAACATAGGGTAGTGTCATTGCTCTTGTGTGAATTGACACTATCTAAACTAGAATTGTGGTAGGTGGCTTGCATTTTTGAGTAGGCTAGCGCAACACTAGCTTCGCCTCATAATTGTCTAACCATTTGGTTAAGTGTTGTTGTAGAAATTTTTATTAGGCTATTCACCCCCCCCTCTAGCCATTAGGACCTTTCAAGTGGTATCAGAGCCGAGGTCACCGTTATTTGAGGCTTAACAACCTTCGGTGTTAAAATGGCTCAAATCAACAACACCAAAAAGCCACCCCAATTTGATGGCTCAAATTATTCTTATTGGAAGTCAAAGATGGCCACACATATCAAGTCAATCAATAGAAAGGTGTGGAAGGTGGTAGAAACCAAAATTGAGATTAGTGATCCGGAAAATCCCACCGCCGCCGAAGAAGTACTTCTCCAAAACAATGATATTGCACTAAGTGCCATTCATGATGCAATTGATGCAAGAACTTTTGAGCAAATCAAGAATATTGAGATGGCACATGAGGCTTGGAAGAAGTTGGAAGAATCTTTTGAGGGTACTCAAGCCGTGAAGGGTGCAAAAGCTTATATTCTCAAAGAGAAGTTTGCGAGCTTCAAAATGAAGGAAGATGAGAGTGTCTTAGGACATGTTCCACCGGATGGAAGTGATTGTCAATGATCTCAAGGCACTCGGTGAGAACATAGAGGACAAGGACTTCTCAAATAAGTTCTTGAGATGTTTGCCCGCAAGGTTCAAGATATTGGTCACCTTGCTAGTAAGGAGTGGTTTGAACACAATGACACCAAACCAAGTCTTGGGAGATATCATGACCGATGATGCCTATAGAGATGATGATGAGAAGGAAGAAAAGAAAGAAAAGAAAGATGAGAAGAAGGATGACAAGAAGAAGAGTGTGGCTTTCAAGGCCACATCATCTAAGGGCAAAGCCAAGCAAGAAACATCAAGTGAGGATGATGATTCATGGGATGATGATGATGATGAGAGAATGGCTCTTTTTGTCAAAAAGGTTTGGCAAGTTCATGGTAAAGAAGGGCTATCGAGCTAGAAGAAAGAAGTATTCATCCAAGAGCAAGGAAGAGGCAAGGAGATGCTTCAAGTGTGGAAGCAAAGATCATCTTGTTGCTCAATGCCCATATAATAGCGACAATGATGATGACAAGAAGAACAAGAAGAAGGACAAGAAAGAAAAGAAGGAGAAGAAGGACAAGACATTCTTCAAGAAGAAGAAGGGTGGATCATATGTGGTCACTTGGGATAGTGACGCTTCCTCAAGTGATGATGATGATGATAGTGATGATCACAAGACCACCAAGAAGAAGGTTCTTGCAAGTATAGCAATCAATGAGAAGCCTTCTCTCTTCGACTCTCCATCATGCTTCATGGCTAAGGCCACTAAGGTACAAACTTATGATGATGGAAGTGATAATGAACATGATAGTGATAGTGATAATGATGATGATGAACCCACTAAAGATGAATTAATTGACATGCTAGAAGATGCTAGAGAACACTTTAACATGTCAAGAAGGGAATGCAAAAGCTTGCGTAAGGAAATAAAAGCCCTTAAGCAAGCATTTGATGAGCTCAATGCATCTCATGAGAGGCAAGAGGATGCCCATGAGAAGCTTGGCAAGGCTCACAAAAAGCTTGAAAAAGCTCATTCCACTTTGCTTAATGAGCAAACTAAAAAGAAGCATGTTGAAACTTGCAATGTAGGTTTAACTTGTGATTTAATTGATACATCACTATCTATGCCTACCATTGTTTCTCCAACCAACCCTTCTTGTAGCACTACTACTTCCATCTCATCTAGTAGTAATGTTCACACTTGTGATACCACACTAGTGGTTGAAAATGAGAACCTCAAGAAGGAAGTAACTAAGCTCACTCACACCTTGGCTAAGGCTTATGGTGGTGAGGACCGCTTGCTTATGTGCTTGGGTAGCCAAAGAGCTTCTCTCTACAAAGAGGGATTGGGCTATACCCCCAAGAAAGGCAAGGCGGCCTTTGCTCCTCACAAGACTAGTTTTGTGAAGAACAATGGTCGATTTTGCACTAGTTGCAAGCAAGTTGGTCATAGAGAGCATGAATGCACCAACAAAAGCAAAAATGCTAATGTATCCTCCATTAAGCTTAATTCTTCCTATATGCTTGTTAAGGGTGCAAATGGTGTTCATGCTAAGTTCATTGGTAAACCATGGATGGGCTCAAAGAAGAAAGCCATTTGGGTGCCAAAGAGCTTGGTTACTAACCTTCAAGGACCCAAGCAAGTTTGGGTACCTAAAAAGAATTGATCTTCTTTTGTAGGTCAATTACAAAGCCGGAGGAAGGCATTGGGTTCTTGATAGTGGGTGCACTCAACACATGACCGGTGATGCAAGAATGTTCAACTCAATCAACACCAATGGCAATGA